AACAACGTACTTCTTTTCGTTAGTGTACTCTACTTAACTATAGTCTCTCTCTCTCTCTCTCTCTCTCTCTCTCTCTCTCTCTCTCTCTGTGGCAAATTGAGATAATTGGCAGTTATTTCATGGGGGCTTTATGGTCAGCATTACTTTCATTTTGCTTTCCCTTTTTCATCTCATTTTTGTTGTTTTTTTTCTTTTCGCTTACCTCTCTTTTGTTGGTGTCTTCTTGCCTCCCTTTAAATAACCCCATTCTGCTCTTGAGGCCATTGTTCTTTTTTTTTTCTTTTTTTTTTGCCTCTATTTCTGTGGACTGCAGCCCTACGGTGGAAACGCAGTGGCGTGTGGGGTGAGTGTATGCGTGCGTGTGTGTGTTGTGTGTGCTCTTGGTCTACCACACCTTTTGTTACAAATGAGTGGATGGGATGCAGTCGTGCCGCTAGTCGTGTCGGGGGCGGGGGATGCGCGTGAGACGACGCACACGCAGTTGTGCACCATGGTGCGTGGAATGGAAGAAACAACTGAAGCCACCAAGCGAAGATTGAAGCAAATAGAGAAGATTCTTGAACGACAGCGTGTCGTCGTGAACGAGGTTAGGGCGTCCACCTCGCGGTTTGAAGACATGTTTACAAAAACAAACAGTGATCTCCAGTACATTCAACAGCAGCTTGAGTACGTTGTTATCACTCTGGAAAAGGAGCGCGGGACTATAGCTGACCACACGGAGCAGTTAAGGCTCTTTGCAATGGAATCCAATTGCCGTGATGGCCGAAATGCCGATGCCTTAGATGATGGCACATCAATGCTTCTTTGGTTAGCTACGTGGCTCTATCGCCCACTTGTTCACTTTGCAAAAGGCTGCTACACGCTGCTATCTCCGCTTCTCAACACTCTTCAGTCTCTCTCTTTGTTTAACACTGACGTACTCGTGCGCCGTAGTGAGAGCGGTGCACGTCTTCGTCACGTGGAGACAAATGAGGATCTTCTGAAACGACTTCAGAAGGGAACCTTGGACCCCACATCACTTAAGAAGAAATGACTCCCCTGAATGTGTGCAGGCGCAATTCACCCCTCTTTTCCTCACTTTTTTTAAAATTTTCTTTTTTCTGGGCGCGTTTCAAATATTTTCATGTGTACGCGATATAATTTTACTTTTTTTTTTATCATTTGTCTACCTTCATTGCCCCGTTTTTTTTTTGTTTGGTTTCCCATTCTTGTTGGTCCCGTAGTTTGAATGTACACATCCGCGTACCTTGAGAATGATGCGCTGGTATTCAGGAAGCTCTTTGCAGACGGTAGTGACGCGGTTTTTCTCTACAACTGCTGCGGGGTTCGTGGCATTGACGCGCTAGCGGAGGCGTTTGAGTTGATTGTTCTTTTGTTCTTTACTATGCTCTTCTTTGTCTGTGTGGCCTGTGCTTGTTTCTCGCTGTGGCGTGATACCGCGCTTCTTACCGTCTCCTGTTTTCTCAGGATCTGCGAGACCCTCCTAGAGTCGGGGCGGCAAGAGGCTTACTTGAACTTGCAAGCTCCTTGCTCTGTTGAGGGGGCAAAGACGAGAAGAAATGTAACACGTCACTTCCGTAGTCTTTTGGGAAACTGCTCAGTCACTGGCATTCCAAACCATGGTGTGCGTCATCTTGCGGTCATTATGGATGGAAACCGTCGGTTTGGTAGGCGCACATCTATGAATGATGTCCCTGTCGATGCTTTAACAACACTGTGCGATTGTATTTTGGACGGAACTGGTCCGCCGAAGCCGATTAATGAGTGGCGCACAGCCCTTGTCTCACTTCTTCGATACACTGCGTTGGACGGTCACCGCCGTGGCGGCGAAAAACTTATAGAATTCATTGATGACTGTCTGGAGTTTAACATTCAAATGCTTACGGTGTATGCATTTTCCACTGAAAACTGGGAGAGAACATCACTTGAGGTGAATGTGCTCATGGCTTTGTTTTATTTTTTCTTTGAGCGCATACAGGATTCTGCGAGAAGGAAAGGAATTTTTATTCGGTTTATTTCTCCAGTTTTTGACAAAATTTCGCCCCGTCTTCGGGAGCTTATGCGGCGTGTGGAGGAAGAATCCCGTAGACACCACCCTCGTCGCATTGTTGTTAATGTGTGTGTTAGTTATAGTGGACGAGAAGAAGTTCTTTGGACATGTAATAGATTGCTGCAGCGGGTGAATAAGTCTGTACCAATAACAAATTCCGAGTTCATGAGTCATATGCTTCGCAGTATCACGCAGGAGTGGCATGAAGTGGAGGACGCCACAGTCCTCGCGGATAGAGGCGGAGCAGAACCGCAAGTTTTACTACGCACAAGTGGGGAGCAGAGGTTGAGTAATTTTTTGCTGTATGAGTGCGCCTACACGGAGTTTGTTTTCATAGACAAGACATGGCCGGAGGTTGACAGGGAAGATCTTATTCAACTTCTCTTGGACTACAGTCGGCGCGGTAGGCGTCATGGAAAATAATATGCGGGCAATGGAAAACTCCACACAAGTGGCACTCCCAATAACTGCGGCAAAAACAAAGGAATAAAAAGATGCAACACCACAGTTTCAGCAACAGCCAGAACAACTCATTAACACTAAATGAACGCAAAAATAAACCAAAACCATGACAAAATAAGGCACATGCTAGATGATGTTTATGCACTCTCTCATAAGTGTGTGCCCTTTTCTCGCTGCTCGCTGGGTGTCGTCCGTGCTGTCCTTAACGGATTTAGTTGGGATTGTCTTTTTGTGTGGGTTGGCTTTCTCCTCCTCCTCCTCCTCCTCCTCCTCTTTGCACTGCCGTTCCGTCGCGGACGGCGCGCCCTCTCGTTTTGTGCTTGGCCTGCCGCAATGATAACAATGACACATTCGACGAAAAGAAAGGGGACAAATTAATAAATCTAAACACACAACCGCTCAGAGGGAGAGAGGGAGATAGATATATATATATATATATATAGAGAGAGCCACAGAGACAAGAACAACAACAACAAAAAAGCAAACACAAAGGGCTCCTCAATACGCACGGTTCATAATGGATGAACTACCTAACGAACGCCTCGTAGCTGAAGAGGAGGCAAAGCCGAGGGCTGAGGTGGAGGAGATCATTTCTATTCCAAGCTCCACTCTTGTGGAGTTCAACCCAAGAAGCGACATCATACGAAGTGAGATACTCCATGTAGTCGTAGGGTGGCTGATAGAACAGGGGCTTACATCCTCCGCCCAAATTCTTCGTGATGAAGCGGCAGCTCTTCTTCGTCAGGAGCACAATGAGCGAAAGGCCCTTCGCACTATTTCTCGCGCGGTACATGAGGGCAATTGGGACGCCGCCCATGCGCAGCTAAAGAAGCTGGAATCCACAACAAAATCGGGCGGAGCAGTAAGTAACGAGGCTCCACCACGAATTACATTATTGCTTCAACTGTTGCCATTTTTGTTAGCACAGCAACAATTTCTGGAGTATGTTGAGGAGGATGGGCAACGGGCTCATGTATTTTTCATGAGGAGGATCAAACCTCTAGAAGGAACTATAAGCAAAGATCATTTTCAACAGCTGATTTATTTGCTTACTTGCCGCAATGTATCGGAGGCTGGAACCATGTATCCCGTTTGGCGTGGGTGGAATCCCACGATAGGACGTTCTCAGCTTCAGTCCCTCATATCAAAATTTATTGGGTATTGTGACAGCAATCCATATTGCCGCCAATGCGAGGGTAGTTTTGATGCTGAGCCCCATATTGCATTCAGAGGTTTGGAACAAATTTTGGCCAATTCCCTCTCGTATGAGCTTCTAAAATCTCAACATCCTTCTTTGCTGCGTGGGCTCGCAACGCATCATGTTCACTCCATCCTTCAGCCATTGGGAGAACAACTTATTCCATCAAACCTTGTTGCTTCGGTGGATGTCAACAGAATCCGTTGCCGCATTGGTGTAGACGCTGGAAAGAAACTGCGACTGACAGCGTGCCAACCCTTTCTTCAAATACCTGCTGTTGTTGTAGGTACATATACAGGTGCTATTTTGTGGGTTCAGCTAGAACAACAAGACGAGTTCCTGACTCGAGCATCGTGTGAGGGATGCCTTAAACTGTATGAATATGACGCCCCTGTGAGGGGTATGGCAAGCCATGACCGTCAAATACTTCTTTCATGGAGTGCATGTCAAGCTGTCGTTCTCAATTTAGGTCGCATTATGGGGAAAACTAAGGAGCTCTTGGATACATCCGAATGCTTGATGGATTGTGTGGCTAACGTATTTGCTCACACAGCAGAGGTTTACTCGTCTTGCTTGTTTCCTTCTGGGGTTATTCTTGCAACCGGATTGTCGGAGGGGACAGTTACGGTTTGGGACATGTTAACAGGAGCCAAAATGTTTCAGCGCAGCTTCAGTACTTCACCAATCGAATCTCTTACCGCAAATAGATCTGGAACCTGCTACTTTGCAGCCTCAAAGGAAGGTATTGTTCGCGTTGTTGACGTTACTACGGGGGTTCTTTTGTTTACATTAGCCTCACCAGTGGCAAGTGAGGTTTCCTCCATTGCGCTTTCTCCTTCAGCATCTTTACTGCTGGTGTCATACCGTAACGGTATACTTCGACTGTGGGACGTTTTAACGGGGGACATTCTTCCCCAACGATTTGAGGGTGTTGAAAGCCATACACGTAAAGGTGCTAGTGTCACCTTTGGATGTGTTGACTCACACATTATCAGCGGGCATAACGATGGTTATCTTTACATTTGGGATACAGGGCACGCACAGTTAAGAGAATCCTCTTCTTTTGTGAATCCAACGGCACCATACGGAATATCAGAGAGCGCCCAGAGTGAGACAGCAAGGACGCACTCACCATCTGTCCCTGGCCGATATTACTGGCCTCTGGGAAAAGCTGTGCCCCCGCCGATACGCACTAAATTGCATCGCTCACCCATAACCGATGTAAAATTTCAACAACATTACGTGGTAACGTGTGGGGATGATGGAACTGTTTGCATCTGCAGCGGTATTGTAGGCCCTCCAAGATGATATTTGATACGAAACACAAAAATAAAAACAAAACAAAACAAAAAAGACACGACTCTAACCTTAAACAGTTATGCAATTGATATTTACACTCGCTTTTTGTTTTTGTTTTGTGTCCTTGCATTATTATTTGCCCCAATGATGTACATTTTGCATTTACAGCAACTTTCTACTCGTCTGCATAGCTCAGCTGATGTTAAACATTTGCGTTACTACACCGTCATTGCCTCTTGCCTTTCTTGTATTTTAGTTTTTTTTTCCGCTTTTTGCTTGTGATTGTCTTGTATTTCCTGTTGACATACGTAGTTTTTCTGCAAGAACTTATTTTTTTTCTGTGGAGGCCTTACAAAGCAAACCATCAGCCCCACTATGGTGCGAAAAGGCTTTGAGAGCAAGTACAAGAAAACACACAATTTGGAGTATCGACTATCTGAGGCGGCAAAAGTTCGTGATAAAAACCCCGATCGAATTCCCATTATCTGCGAAAAGGTGGACGGTTCCGGCATTGGTGATTTGGAAAGGGGTAAATTTCTCGTGCCGTCGGATCTCACTGTCGGGCAATTTGTACTGGTGCTTCGGAAGCGTGTGACGGTGGAGGCGGATGAGGCGATTTTTCTTTTTGTCAATGGCGCTGTGCCTCCCACCACTGCACAAATGTCTGATTTGTACGCGCAGCACAAGGACGAGGACGGTTTTCTTTACATAAAGTACTCTGGAGAAGCAACCTTTGGTTCTCGGTGATGTCCGCGACCGTGTATGTGTATGCATGATACATGTGTCTATGTGTTTGTGCTTGTTTGTACAGCTTCAGTGGTGTGTATTGAGAGTGGGGGGCACTTTTGGTTCTCATGAAAATTTCATGGTGCGAGCGTGAGCTTAAAAAGGGGTCTTTTGCGTGATTGCTATGCAGTTATTTTAGTATATATGTGCTCTTCTGTTTGCGTGTGTGTAGTTCATTTTTTTTTCACCTTTTTTTGCTGTTTTTTTTTTCTTCTTGTAGTAAGTCTTTGTTATTGTTCTCCTCACGCCATCTGAATTGGGAGAAAGAGTCGTGGTTCTTTTCCTGATAGTATGCGTGCTGGTTTGCATTTCCAATACTCTGCTGAACCTGATGCAGTTGCTCAACGTGTTGCGTTGTGTCCCCCACAAGTGCTTGTGTGCAAGTGTGTGCGTGTGTGTGTCTTCCGCACCAACGTGCAATGCCCTTTTTGCCCCTTGTCTCTTTGTTCTTTGTTCTTCTCTGTAGCAAGGGTATTTGCAGCTTACCACAGCAATGAAGAAGGGGTTTGAGAGCCGATACAAGATGTCGCACTCATTCGAGTCGCGCCAAAAGGAGGCGGCAAAAGTTCGTGAACGACATCCTGACAGGCTTCCCATTATCTGCGAAAAGGTGGACGACTCCGACATTGGTGATTTGGAAAGGGGTAAATTTCTCGTGCCGTCGGATCTCACTGTCGGGCAATTTGTACTGGTGCTTCGGAAGCGTGTGACGGTGGAGGTGGATGAGGCGATTTTTCTTTTTGTCAATGGCGCTGTGCCTCCCACCACTGCACAAATGTCTGATTTGTACGCGCAGCACAAGGACGAGGACGGTTTTCTTTACATAAAGTACTCGGAAGAAGCAACCTTTGGTTCTCGGTGATGTCCGCGACCGTGTATGTGTATGCATGATACATGTGTCTATGTGTTTGTGCTTGTTTGTACAGCTTCAGTGGTGTGTATTGAGAGTGGGGGACACTTTTGGTTCTCATGAAAATTTCATGGTGCGAGCGTGAGCTTAAAAAGGGGTCTTTTGCGTGATTGCTATGCAGTTATTTTTTTTATTCTTGTTGATACAAGTTTCTTTCTCTGCTATTGGAGCTTTGCCTCAGTTGGGGGCTCAGGGTTATATTTGTAGCGGTGGTGCTTTTTGTGATTTGGTTGTCCTTTGCGCCGTTGCTGCTATTTTGGTTGCTGTGGGAAGCGTGTGACAGATATGTCTGTTTGCTTCACAGTATCTTTCTGGTCTCTGCGTTGCTATCCTCGTTGCTCGACGCGATCACTTTGGGTTGTGGATGATTGATTTTTGCGGACGTGCGACTGTCCGCAATACGGCTGCAGACACTCGGCTGCTGCTTTACGTGCACGACCACCACATAATGCGGGGATATCTGCGTGGTGCGGAGTCTTTTTGGGGGCGGTGGACAACAGACTGCTTCCGACAGGCGATGAAGTGTCGTGGAGGTGTGTACTTTTGTTGCCGATGCGATTCTCGTCGCTTTACGGGTACGAGACTCGTGCAGGCCAACTCGCCGCTGCGGTCTGCGGGTGAGGTGCGCGGGTTGAAGGGCGACGGGGTCCCTGGGAGGTGCGGGCAGCAGACGAGGAGGGGGGTGGAGTGTTGCTGCCGGTCATCTGCAAACACTTTCTGTGGAGTGTTTCTCTCTTATTTATTTTGGGTGTGCGTGTGACCCCACGCTCCGGTGGCGGCGGTACCGTGACGAGGGCCATCGCGAGATGCGCGGCATAAATACCGGGCGCGTCGTGCGACCAAGCTGCGGTGTTTTGAGGTTGCTGTGCGTGTGGCTGGCGCCCTATTTTTATTTCTCGTTGTCTTCAGGGTCAGGTGCGGGAATACCTTTTTTCGTACTCTCCCGCCCCCTCCATCTGTGTTCTGTTGTGTCCCTGCGCGGGCAAAAGCGACAACCAAGTGGTGTTTGTCCCTTTTCTCAAATTCCCTTATTTCCTGTGAGTATATATATATATATGTGTGTGTGTGTGTGTGCTTCCTTTTGCTGGAGACTTCTCTCAAGCCACGCCCCGTCTCCTCCTCCTCCCTGCCTTCGTCTTTTTTCGTTCTTCCTGTGGGTGAGCATTGTGTTGCGTTAGTCAATTGTTGTGCAAATTCAGGAATCGCCAATGCAGAAGAACGGTACGCCAAGGCACCCCGGGAAGGTGTTTCTCGCCGTTGAGGACGTTGCGCAGTGTCTCGGCGACTACCAGGTGTGCGACGTGCGCTACAGCCTCTGCGATAAGGCGCACGGCAGGGACAA